ACTATAACAATAATTAACTCTCCATAGTGCCCTATTGGATAAAAAGTTCACAGAATACTATGTCAATAATGAACTCTTCTTAGTGCCCTCTTAAAGGAAACATCAATCCAAACAACATAATGACCCCTAAAGAAAAAGCTCCACAAATGTAGGAGAATGCAATTCACAGTTTTTTTTATATCACATTTCATTCTCTAGATATTCAATTTTTCATCGGTATTATGTAGTCAGCCATCTTGATTCTCAAGCAAAGTATGATGTCATACTTTACCCAAATCCTTTGCTTGAAAATCAAGATGGCATAATATACATAATACTGAAGAAAAGTTGAATATCTAGAGAATGAAAAGTGATATAAAAAAACTGTAAATTGCATTCTCTTACATTTGTGGAGCTTTTTCTTTAAGGGTTATTATGTTGTTTGGATTGACGTTTCCTTTAAATGAAGAATTCATAGAGTACTTATAACAATACATGTAATTAATGTGTTAGACTGGCCAAGAATATTTGTTTTTGTTAATTTTCAAAGCTGGCATTTCTTCACAGTGATTACTATGATGATCATTTCATTGCATTTCATTTTTGTTACTGAGCAATCTGTACATCATTAGTTACATAACATTCATTTTGACAAATGTTTTACAAATAAACTCAGTATAACTCCTGAATATATTTAAACAAAATGAAACAGATGTTGCTTCTAAGTGGTGTCCGGGAGAACACCGTAAACATTTCTCAGTACCCCTCCATTTTGGGTTGTCCAAAATATACGACTCTGATAACAGGTTTTAGTAAATGTAGCGTCAAATTTGTGTTTGTGGTATAAATTTCCCATGCCTATATGTAGGTTTTGTTTTCCCACGCTGCTAATGTTTTATTGCCACTGAAAAGTGCTCACTTCCTTGCATTGCATCACATTGCTCCCTTGTGTCACACTGAAGTGTTGTTATATGAATGTAATAAACTAAAGCTACAGATGAACAACATGATCTGTTGTTGAGTTTATATTTTCTAAAAATGAAAATAATAAAATAAATCTACAAATAAATTTTGAAAAATTCTATATTTTATTATCTTTATTCATTATTTCCATTACTGATATATATTTTTCATTTAATTATATTTTTTTTTTGATTTATATTTTCCATTTTCATTTTTGCAGTTAGTATGTTTTTATGTGTCTGTCTGTTCCACTTAATCTCAAGGAACCACTCATTGGAGCTAAATGAAACTTAATATACATGTGCTCCGGGGTAATTATCAGACCTCATTATTTTAGAGTTGAAATTCATTCATAATATTTACCTGATTTGCTTAATTATTGGCTAGTATTAACTATTCCAATGATACCTGATAATCAGATTATTTTTCGATAAGAAGACTGCAGATATTTGTATTGTACATTTCAACAAAGTGAATCAAATTGTTTTCACATTTCACAGTCTTCTTCTTTAAGGCTGATTATTAATTGTTATTAGTTTTATATATTCTCCATGTCTACTTTATATGCCTATCATTCCCCTCAGCACACATGTAAACTCTGATTTTTGTTATTTTAACCCAATAAAATATGTTGATGTCATACTAATAGTATATAGGGGAAAATGTCTGTCCTCTTTATTGCTTGGTACTGTTGTTGAATCTGTAGTAGAACTTTACAATAACTCATACAATAACAGTTTTTATCAAATTTGGATATTGTAATACCCAGTTTGAATTTAGTCCATGTTCTGTGTGTATTTTTTATGGTATTGCTGAAATTTCACTTAAAATTGTCTTTCTACAATAACTTTTTATTTACTCAACTTAATTTGGAAATGTCATTGTTATGAAATGTTAATTTTCGTGTAACTAGCAAGTGCATTTTCTAATATATGGGGTAAAATTTGGCTGAAATAAAACATTTGTTAGACATAGAAATAAGTGGACAAAATGAAGAAATTTATACTGCTGATAATTAGAACCAGATGATGGTAATATTCTCTTCAAGATGTGTCAATTAGATTAATCTAGTAAACCAATACGTTGTTTTCATTGCAAGTATAAATCAAACTGATACGTACAGTGAAGTTTACTCACACTATTATTTGGCAATTATAACACTATTATTTGACTTCATTGTTTTTGTCAGCATTGTCCCCACTTAAAGTTTAGCCTGTATTTTCTGCAAAAATGTTTAGAACATTTATGTTCGATTTTGCCAAGCAAACAATAAGATTGCGCATAGTTAGTTTGTATTTATCCATACATTTATATTTAATCTAGATTCTCAGTGGGAAATGTTGTAATAGTTATACTATGTTTTATTTATAAATTTATATTTTTGGTATAAAGGACCTTCAAGTAAATCTACATTATAAATTTAAATGG